TAAAATAATAATAATAAATAATAATAATAATAATTGTAATATATAATAATAATAATAATAATTATTATTATTATTATTATGGTTTCATGGTTTAATACAGATGTTTTCCGTCTCGAGTAACTTTTAACAGACCTGAAAGTATTAAACACAGTGAAGCGCCTCTGTTAGTGCAGATGGGCGAAAATGTTCTCTGTGTGGCATCAACGTCACACAGACCTTGGAGTCGACAATAGAAGTAAAAAAGTGTATGATTCTGTATGAGAGGTCAGTCGATGTGTGTAAGTGATGATTTTCTACCTCACAAAACGGCAAGCAAGTTTATAAAGAAGCAAGAAAGGAGCCATACATTTTTCACATCAAATAAAATGCCTGTATAAAAAAATACTTTCATTAAATTACACCCCAAAACACTCCTGAGCTAGCAGTTCTATATAGAATATCAATGTTTTACTATGTTGCATAAACCATACCATATGGAAACCTCTCAGAATGTGACTGAATGTGAAATCAAAAAATAATCCTCAAGTGTTTATAATAAAAGCACAATAAATTTACCATCTGTTTCTTGGCAGCAGCTCCGGGCTGAAAGAAACAGAAAGACACGAGCTCTATATATCTCAATTCCCAGTAAAACTTGGCTCAGAGCGGCGAGTGGAAAGGTGGCTTTACTGGACTGAATAGACAGGCCGCCTTATTTCACAGAGCCGAGTGGGGCCGAGCTGAAGGCATCGTAAGGCGTGTGATTGGCAGTAGCTGTTTGGCAGTAGCAGGATGGAGAGAAGGAAAAAAAGGAAAAGGGAGCGAGTGATGAGAAAAAGCAAAATGTTCCAGTCATAAAACAGCAGGTCTTCACAGCAGTGTGCATGCTCGTCCCCTCAAGCAGATGTAGACTCTGTACAACAGTTTGTGTGCAGTGTGATGCTGGATTGCTGCCGCACAGTTTTCCAGGTCAGCTGAGACCTTTCAAGAGCCCTCTTGCAATCATATCTTGACCTAAGAAAAAAATCCAGTATCTCAGACTGAAGGCCTCCAGTGGGTGGATGTGGGGGATTAGTTCAACAAGGCAATGCCACAGGGACAAAGTCACCAGGTAATTTGTTATCAATAAGCCATAACCATCCTGCCCTCAGTGACAGGAGATTCATCCCTCTGAACTCTTCCCTCAAGCATTCTGGTCTGTTACTTTTACTGCTGCAAACCAGTGTGGAGCAGGGAAGCTAAAGCCCTGTGTTAAAGAAGCTTACTCTCCTCGGTTGATCCTGGCTGGATGAACCAGCCCATCCCTGGGAAATACGTTTATATCGGACGATTCTGCTCCTCACAATTTATGTCCAGTGGCAATGTTCGGTGCCAGTGGAAGAAGTAATGAACCCTTCATGTAGTGAGGCAGAAAGTTAGGATATGGGAACCCGGGGGGACTTTTTTAATCGAAAATCACAATCTTTCCCAAACCACAACCAAGGGGTCTAGTTGCCTAACCTTAATCCTACCTTAACCATAGTTTCTTTGGAGGTATTTCTATTGAGGAAAACATGGTACCTGAGAACTGAGAAATGTAGCATACATGACGCAAGTTAAATACGATGTGTAAAACGAGGGGCAGTTTGGTTGGGTTAATGAAAAGATTCCAGTTTAGGTTAAAATAAGTACCAGCAGGGGGCAATAATGATGGCAGCCAAGAATGTACGCAGTATAAAATCCATAGTGAGGAGGTTTACACACAGGAGATCAGGGTTCCTTTTCGGTGAGAAACCAATTTCCAATGTTGTTTTAAGTAGGTAGTTTTATTAACAGATGATTTTTTTCTCTTTTCTACCAATTTTAAATATCATGTGAATGTCAGAGGAAACAGAAATATGAACTTACTGAATGTAGAACTATTCATGCATACTAATTAGGTAGACCACAACTATAGCTCTTTTTCTGACATAAGCACATTCCCAACTAACCATAATGTAGCTGCAGAAATTGTAGAATTAAATAATTTAACAACATTGCCAATTCAATTTTAGCAAGACTAAGAGTCAATGTCAATGTTGGCATGCTATGCTCACAATTACAATGCTAACATGACAATGTTAAGCAGGTATAATTTATCACTGGTACTAATTAGTACTAAATGCTTTAATTGAAAAGTGTCCTGAGATAACTTTAGTTATGAAGTGGCGCTACACAAATAACACTGAATTGAATTATATTGAATAGTTATAATATTGACTGAAAAAGGTCAAACTAAGAAGTTGAATTGCAGTGCACGAGACTGACGTCGACTGACGAGTACAATAACGTTGCCTAGCAACACAGCCTTGCTATGGTATGTGTAAAAAGCTGTGCATGTGTGTTTGTGGCTGCAGCCACTGTGGAGTTTATCTCGTTTATACATCTCTGTGTTTTCTGCTTTGCTTTTTATTTATTTAAAATTGTTAGTTCATTTCTGCAGCCTAAGATTGCTTGTTGTTATTGTTACTTTTGGTCATTTGTGCTTAATTGTCTGTGTTTGGTCCTCTTTTCTGGTTAATTCTAGTGAGACTACACAGAGGAAGACCATAGTATATTTATAACTGATATTCAGTGGTAGGCACAGGCTGTGAAATCTCTCCATATAAATAGAATTTATTGTCAGTTTGGAAATCAGGGCTTGGTAGCATGATGTTGTTCCACTAGTGTTCTTGGGTTGATGTAATTGTAAGATTATTCCCTTCAACTCAAGAATAGTTTTTAGATATACCTATACTGTAAATAGTTTCTATTCCCAATATAAACAATATTTTCCATTGTTCAATGTCACCCAGTTAAAGGGTGTGGTGGTAACAAGGTTTAGACAGTTTATAAAAATAAAATAAAAAACATGGAAAGTACAGTATGAGGATGTGGAAATATATTTCATAATTAATGTCTGATGCTTTGAAGACACAACAATTGCATTACCAATGGATATTAGTTTAAAAAATGCCAGATTTAAGTAACTAGTAACTTCCAGTAGAAACCAGACTGTAGTGTTAATCTGTGAACCAACCAGTCAAGAATTTTTAGATGTCTAACATTTCTGTGGATCGATGGAAAAAAAGCAGACGGATACATGTTTTCTTAAATCCTTAACTCAACATTATACATCTCATATTCATCCTGCTGCTTCATCATCTTCACCATCTACTCTCAGTCCCAGCTCTACTTTATTTTCTGTTCTGCTTTAACTGTAACTACTGCAGCCCCCTCACTCCCTCGTGTTCCCACAGCTTTCCCATCGTTCCTGCTTATCGACCTGTTTCTTCAATCCTCCAGTGCCCTGATGTCCTGCTTTCCCTCTGCATCTCGCTTTATTCTGCTTTTCTTCTTTCCTACCTTAGATCTATTAGCCTCCTGGGTTCATTATCTCTCCGCAGGTTGCTGCGGCCCATCTGGCCTGTGTGCCCACTCTCCTTTAACTTGGGCTGGGATGACCGAGATAAAGACTTTCCTCGGGTAAAAAAAAAGTACTTGTCATCAAACAGATTACTGCTACCTTTGATTTGTGCTCACATGCATTCTGCTACTTATAAGTAGCTAGGGGCGTCATCTTGGTAAACCAAACAAAAACACCCCTCACTCATAAATGCAGCTTGTAGTTTACAGTAGCAGCTCCAACTGAAGCGCTGTGTATACACTTGCAAATAAAATGTTCTTTCTTTATAAACGGTAAGTATAGCCAAGATTTTCACGGCCTACCTGTCTGTTTCAGAGTGTTCCTGCTGTCAGGTGCACACTGCAGCTTGTGGCAAAGCAACACCCCGCTAAACTGACCTGTCAGCTGTAAACACCCTGCTACTCATCTAAACAAAAGCAATTCAACCACTTAGACTTGGTGAAAAAAGCTTAACACTACAACATTGCAATAAGAGGAAATAAAAACGATGACAGTCCAGTCCAACCGTGTTTAGCAGAGCAGTGTTTTGCTGTGGTTGCTACATAAATCGACTGACACAAATCAGCTTTACTGTATATTTCTTGTGTTTTTATTTGCCAAAATGTCTCATTTGCATAATTCTGCAGCTGTTAGCTCTCCTGAGGTGTAATCATAATATTTAGCAGTTTTTTTCCCAGGCGTAATTATAAAATTTGCAACTCCAAAACTTCCTATAAACATCCTATATTGTACCACTGGCTGAGCAATCATCATTGAATACAATTCAGAAGAGCTGTGGAGGCTTGTTGGAATACACTATGAGGGGGTAAATGATCAACTGTCACCTTGTGTGCTGACATTTGTGGCTCAAATGCACTGCAATGCACAGGTCAATTGTCACTGGATTTCTAAGAAGACTAAAGGCCAATTCAGACCAAATCAAAGAGAGGGACAGAGAGACGAAAGGGCAGCTGTGGCCGAGCTACATAGACATGTGTGAATAAACGACAGAGAGAGAGAGAGAGCGCCGGCGAGGAAAATGACTAATCAGATAAATAAAACATTATTTTCTGATTGTCTCACAGTGTTTACATCCTAGAGCACAAATATTGCCCCAGGATGGACCAAAAGTGGCGAACCAATTCCGATGTTCCATGCACCTATCCTGTTTTGTTTGAGGTTGGGATTAGGTAGTTAGGTAGCACATAACACAAGTTAAAGACTGACTTCTCTCATCAACAACACTGCTGGATGACATCTGGGGTCACTGCACATGAATGGGCAAAAAGAGCAGTGGGAAAAATTAATCAAAAGTTGTGGTCTGACTGTCAAGACTCGTGTCTAATGGCTGACTGAGAGGCACTGACCCTTTACAAACACCTGAGGGAGAGAGCGAACATAGAGAGAAATCCAGCCCCATGTGGGAGGGGACAGTGTGGCTGTACGTTTGCTGTATCGTGCGTGTTCGTCTTTGTGCATATGTGCCACTAGAGTCTTTTTCTAAATGTTCGCCTGTGTGTGCATTATCTACTGTATCAATGTGAAAGTATTTTACCCCATGGGTACACAAATATCACACGAACTGGCCGACACACCAGCTTAGATCATCTTCTTGTTGAATCGCCCCTGATAGTGTGTGTGAATCAGCACAGGCCAACCATATGTTTCACTGCCTCTCCCTCTGCTGTCTAACACTAAGCTGTATCCCTGACAGATGGTCCAGCTCCACTTAACATGACAGTATTATTTTATCATGCACAGAATAAACTGTGGAATGACTCTGTGAGGAAGCCTTTATCTTTAGAATTCGTACAAAAGACTTTGGTGTCTGAGTAGAATGTAGTGGACCTGGGACCATTCAATGCAGTGCTCCCATTGCAATTTCACAAGTATTTGAATTCATTCCACATTTTATTTGCAACAACAGGAGTTGGTTTCTTCCTATATAATCTGAGTTTCTTTAAGGTGTCTCTAACCAGCGTGCCACTTTTACAAAATGCTCTTCCTCTGAGCCAAAATTGATCCAGAAGAAACTAAATGATTTGCATCTTAAAGAAGAGTCATCTTATCTTATTTACCAAAGGATGCACAGATGGAGTATGAAATTGTGTGAAGGTGATGGTTTATGACTTTCTGCACTGCACTAAAGTGATGATTAGGTGATTTTTTTTGTATGTTTGTATTCTACATTTGGTATGTCTATTTGTGTGTTCAGTTAATCCATTACAGGTTTCTTTCTCCCCTCGATGTGTTTTGTATGTATGTGAAACAAATAATAATAATAATATTAATAAAATGTGATGTACTGAGTTGGACTGAAAATTATTGTATTAGACTTAAGTAACCTTAACCTGAAAACTGACACACAAACAATAAAACATTGTAGTATGTATTTGTACAATATTATACATAAAATAATAATCATTTTAGTGATTTGTTCCCTCTGGCCTAATATGATGAATAGGGCACATTTTCAGCAGTAGTATGTGACTTTCTCTACTTGTTTCCCATGGGTTTGAACAGCTTTAAACACTGCTTATACACAAACAGAGAATATTGAATTATTTTACTTAGGTGCACCCTGAGCACACAAGTTGAAACATTTTCAAATCTGAGCTCAAAAATCAAACTTTAAATAAAATTTATATTCGCAACTCTTTCTGCTGAGAATCAGATTTTACAGACAGATATTACCACGGCGTAAAAAACAAAAATCAAATCAATGGGGAATATGCAAATCTTTGTTGATGACTTTGAGAATCAATTTTCCAATTTCAGTCTTGCTTGTTTGTTACTGCAGTGTTTGTGGTGACCTGAAAATAGCTGCTGTTGAGTGTCATGGTTAACTTGAGCACATACACTAAGTTAGTCATAGTTTATAATGTGGTCGCCAAGCAACAGCAAGACACCAAAAAACACACCAGGATAGGAACCCATTCAGAGTCCATCTAAGTGAAGGACCCTTCAGCATTCAGCATTAAAACGGTGACTGTGACACTGATTTCTGGATATTCTGAGCTTTATTTTTTAGGTGTAACCTTATAGCATGTAACATATTGTGTATTTCAAGTATCCCTACCTCCAGGATAGATGTCTCTTATTCCATTTGTTCTGAGGAGTCAGGCCTCGTTTCCTGCGGCCCATTGCCACCTCTGTCTCAGACACATCTGGCAGAGAACATCTGGGCGTTTTCATTAGACCCAGTGTGGCTTGGTCTGAAGAGGAGAGGAGAGGTAATTGTGATACAGACTAATGAAGGTACATGAATTAAACCTAATATTAATATAACACACAATATATCTTTAGTACTTTAGTTGTATGATAACTGGAAGACAATGAATGCAGATTGTGTTTAACATAAACACGCTGTAAAAAGAATGTATAAAAGTGGAAGACACACACCACTACGGTTCAACACCTGTTTGCAAATGACTGCTTAAGTAGCTGTAACTCATACTATACGCCCTCATATGCATTCATACGTGCATGTAGAGGAGGTTATGAATGGCCATAAATCATACATGCTCTGTACGATACCCTCTTACATGCAAAATCACACTCTCTCTCACACACTACTGTTCAGGCCATAAATTATGCTTGCTCAGACACACACACCCAGTACCCTACTCCCTTAAAACCATTCACACACAGTATCATACAGTTGTGCATGTGAGATGAAGATAGTGGTGTGGGTGATATTTTTTGTCGAAAGAGAATTGCGTGGAGCGTGAGCAAAACTGACAATATGTACTCCCTGTGTGAGAGAAGGTACACAAATCAATACTGTTATTCTGTTGTACAGCGCTGTTATCAATCATATAGTATGCGGCGCTGTCATTCTGCCGTGTGCGTCTGTGTATGTGGGTGCAAGTCGCCTGTGCAATACAATACAACAGAGCTGAAATAAACATTACCTTTGTAATGGTTGTTGTGTCGGAAGGATTTTGATTCAACACAGTGACAGTTTCTGAAGCCGTAATTTTGTGTTTTTGTTGGTTGGGTTGCATTATATTGTAGAGTATACCTCACGTTCTCTTCCCCATTAGAATAATATTCACTCACTCTCTCTCACTCTCACAAATTGTAGTCATGAAATAAACTCACGCAAATACACACACAATACCTCCATCCATCCAAAGTACCAACGTAAACCTCCCTTTTTAACACAATCGCACACACATACCGAAGACTCCGGTCTCCTTCAGCCCTCCAAACTTCTGCATGGCTTTGATAGCCTTGGTCAGGGCCTCCTTGGTCTGAAGCTGACCAGTCACTGGGTCAGGGGGCGGGAGGTAGCCAAACTTACTCAGCCAGTCCTGGAAGGGAAACAGTAGACACAGAGTTCAAGAGTCATCACAGGCATTTCAAGGACTCAAAGTATCCCAAAGCTCCTGAGAAGGTTGACACCTGTTCATGTTTACTGTCTGTGGATACTGTGTGTCTGTGCACAGTACATCACAGCTTTAAGTCTGAATGCACACACACACATATTTCCTAAAATGACACTCAACTCAACACAAAATGAACCAATAAAAAGATCTTTTACACAGCAGATGTTTCGACATGGCTTACTGGGACACTTAAAAAGAACACATAACTAACATTACCAGTAACACCTGTTCTCATCCTGTTATGACGAGGTAGTAAAGTCTTCTGTGAAGGTCTGTAACGTTATCTAGTGTCGTATATAAATTAAACTATGCTTTCCAATCACGCATAGTCAAAGTCATCACACACTGCTGAGACAAAAAAAAGGCAATAGTATGCAATTAGTAACTGAATTAATGATGGAAGCGTGAAGATAAAAAATGCATGATGTTTAATTTCACATTTTTTCACCAAAAAAAGTCCATCATTGAACTCTTAAATTATAGTTGCAAGAAAGGCTGCTGGGCATATTGCGAAAAAGCCTCCTTAAAGTGCAAAATTCTGTATCAGTGTGGAGGAGACTGTGGAGGAGACCATGAAGAATAGGTTCAACAACAACAAAACAGACAAACAAACGTGTTTCTGAATTATTATTATTTTTTTTTTAAGGTCATATTAGTCAGACTCTCAGGAAATAGGCTGTGGGTATAACCCTGCCACTGGCTGACTACTTCAGTCAGAATTATCTTCCCCTACTGCTATCTGCGTGTTACGGTTTTCACAATCCCTGCCGCTGCGTGAAACAACAACAACCTCCGAGCTAGCAACCTACACGCTGATATGGCACATCTTCTAACTGCAGCAGCGTCACTGATATTGACATAATCCTGGTCTTAGCGCCTCCCAAGAAAGACTATTGTAATTGGTTTAAAGAAATACAAACAAGCCAGAGCAATTTTCCCCTACACCAGAATAATAATGTGCTCAGCCAAACCTTCCTCCAGTGCTGACACAGCGCTAATACAAAGTGTGGAGAAAGCCATACTGAGTATTGTTTTACTCTTTACAGTCACTGTATTGTCAGGGTAAATGAACAAAGGATTAAGCTTTTAAACACAACATACATGCAGCAGACATGATATTAAAGTATAGCCTAGGTTCTCAACTATTCACCTGAACAGTTCATGATGTTTTATAGTATCATAGTAATATTTGACCATCAAAACATAGAGGTAGACGTCCCTTATTCTGTGTCATCATATTTGGTTCAGGAGGTATGATGAGGTTTAGTTATGGCTGAAAAAATGGACGCGATGTCTGCCATGATTTTTGCGATGCTGCCGTTTCTGAAAAGGTTCAGGGCCCCAAACAGAGTTTAATGCTTTCATGAAAAAGTGAATATATTACCTCAAATTTGGCCCCCCTATCAGCTGGACCAATAGTTCCTTTTTACAGCAGACATTTTGACTTGTTAAAGTGGGAAAAACACAGGTGTTACTTATTACATTAATGATGGCTCCGTTCTGCTTAAATCTCCCAGTAAGCACATTAATTTTATTACTTATGCCTGTGCTTTTCCTTTTTTGACATGTCAAAATGTCTTCTGTAAGAAGGGCCCTATTCATCAGTTTCCTGCATATTATTGCCGTTGGATTCGTTTTGCGTGTTTTTGCACTTGTAAACTTTGTCTGGGACGGTTGTGAGCGCATATTAAGTTTAGTTAAAAAGGACGCTTTTGTGTGAAGAGTCTTTCCTTTGGTTCCTAATATGGTTTGAGATATTCTATTCATATTCAACTTATGTCAGTTTGATACTGAACACTATTAGTTTCCTGAAAGATTCATTTTAATTTTCGAGTCAATCCTCATATGTCCCAAATAGCCAAATCCGCCCTCCTGCTTGTTGTAACCGAATCTGTCGGTTTCTCTTTGTATCTCTCTTTCTCTCTCTCACTGTCACTCTCCTGCCATCTCTTGTTCTCTCTGTCCTCCATCTATCTGAGCTCCACCCCTCCATGATCTGATAGCCGTTCTGTGTGTTTTTAATGAGTTTTTGATCAACACTCATCAGAGACGAGTGACACAGATCGATAGCAAGGCAACTGTTCTCTATTGACAACACTGTGAAAATTCCATTAACTAAATAATTGACTAGTTGTTACAAAGCTGTCTGTGTGCTGATATTTGCCCCCTCATCCTCGGCTACGTGGCAGATAGGGATTAGTTTGCAGAATACAGATGACCCCAAGTGTCATCCAGGATGACGAGGAAGAAAAATTGTTCTTGTCTGGTAATAAATAGGAAGCAGAGGGCAAAGGATGTGTGCCTGAATGACAACTTAGGCAATAAGAGAGGTTCATTGTTGGGTGGGGTTTTATTTTTCAAAAATAAAATAGAAAATATGTCTGCATTTATCTGATAAAAAGGAAATCAACAAAAATCGCCTGTTTCCGTTCGCAGAAACTGTAGCGAAAGACAATGCGTGGGAGATACAATCAGGGTAAACTTTTGTTCAAAGTCAATGACTTTTTAAAAGAAAAATCCCAGTGTAAGACCATAAATGAGGAGCCTATACCAAAACAAAGGTAATCATGTCTGTGTGTGTTCATCTGTATGAGCGTTTACATTGTGTTAATGTCCACTAATAGGCAGGGAGGAGGTCTCAAAAGTTCCTGTTTACTGTAAACACACTGTACGAGCAATGAATTACATTACATATCTGATGTCTACAAAATAAATATGCCCTGTGTTTATACTCACTATCTTTTATTTTACTGTCTGATAAATGTCAGGGTGACAGTCCTCTTTTCATTTACTAATAAAACTCAAGTAACAGTCTATGTGAGGATGTGCTTTTAGTACCTGCGCTCACGCCTGGTGGTTGAATCCTGGCTTGGATGTAGAGGGTGAATAAGGGCAGGTTTATGATCGAGGCATTCTAGAAGTATATGATCACACACCCAGAGGTTGAAATGTCAGGAAAAATTAGAATGAAGAAAATGAATGATGGAAAAAGTGAAAAGGTAAAAGGAAACAGCCGATATAGAAGTCTGAGCAGCATCAAAGGCTACGTCTGATACAGCCTGTGTGGTCTGGGTCAAAGGCATTGGGCTTCTGGTGCAGGTTATGCTGAGCTGGAGGTTCTAGCTAAGCACTTTAAGGTTCAAAAGCCAACTGGACCGCTTTTGAGCAATTGAATGATATGTCAGCATATTGAACGTTTTGGCAGGATGCTAAGAAAAAAAAGGAATGATATAAGGCAATATTGATCCCTGTCCATGTCAGGGTTTTCCCATCCACAGGGCAGCCACAGCACAGAGTCATCTATAGAATAACAACCCTGCAGCTGCTATAGATTCAGCATCTTGTTAAAGGACCAGTTTCCTAACACTTGAACTACTGCTAAGTAGAAATATCTATTTTTTTTACTGTATGTGGTCCAGAATAGAAGACTATGGATCAGCTAAGGTCTGCATATCTGAACAGAAAACTGACTGAGCTTCACACAAAAGCAAGATGAAAAAAACTAAAAAAAGAAATACTATATATACAACTACACTAGGCTTGGATGTGTTAGTGGACCTTTTGACAACAGCTGAGCAATTTCTGCACACCAGTTGGTGTGCATAAAAAATAATGTGTTTCTCAGTTTTAAATAGGCAAAAGGCAAGGAAATATGTGTTGCACCTTTCAAACACAGAGGCAATTCAAAGCGCTTTACATAAGGCACAGACATGCATTAGAACATTTATGGACATACAAAATGGGAAAATAACCAGCAAGTAGAAATTGGATTAAAATAATAATGAAAACAGACAAAGAATACCGTTTCAATGCAGCAGCAGCATCCACTTTCAAACAGCAAGACAAAACAATTAAGTGATCTGCTGCTAGATATAACTATAATGGGTGTAATCCATATAACATACACTGGAAAGGTAGTTTAAGATAAACCTTTTTTGATCCCTTGGTTGTTGCAGCAGCACAAGGACAGCAATAAGTACAGATAAAGAAAGAAAGTAAAATAATAAAAGGGATATAAAATTAAAGTAAGGGTAAAAAACATCTAAACTACATACAGAGCATTTGGAGACAATAACAGTGTTATGGTTAAAGTGACAGTAGTGTAATTAATGTGTTCTATGTTAACAGTGTGCACCAGACTAATATTAATAATAATAATAAAGCACACAGCAACAATCACAGCATGTGTAAACCACTGTGAGCGTATTCATTCGGAGATCCCACTGTAATGCAACGCCGATGCTCAGATGCTTTGGAGCAAAGGTTCAGTAGTGAAACGCAAGGCATTAAAGGCCACAACTGATTACACTGGATCGCAAAGACAATAAGAAGAAAAGAGAAAGGTAGTGCGAAGAGGGGGCAAACATCCCGCTCTCACGCAGAGAGAGAAAACTCTGTATATGATGAAAGAACTGAAGCCGCCCGTACAAGTTTATTCTCTCTAAATCTGTAATTAACTGTAGCACGAGGGGGCTGAGGCAGATGGCTGAGACTCCAGTCTTCTTTAATCATGAATTATTAAGACAGGCAGATACAGAAAACAATGGCACAAAATGATGTCTAACACTCCAGTATTCTCATATTGTTGTACGTAAAATGAGAGAACGGTATTCAGTAAACATACTCCGCCGAGCCGGCTGCCACTTTAGTGAGTTCTTCTCCTGAACAATCAAACCTCTCTTTGTAGTAAGCTGTCTTGTTTCAGTTGCTCTGCTGTGGTCGGCTTTAAAGTTTCTATCTTTATATTTCTTGTCCAAGTTGTAGACGAGAAAAAGGAACAACGGAATTGACAAGGTGCCGTCAAGAAGCTGTATGAGAGAAATGTAGAGGTAAACAGAGGGATAACTGTCACTGACACATTATTACTCGGTACAAGAGATTAATAAAAACTGCCCATTCTTACATCTAACCACTTCTTTTGGGGT